ACATACAAAAGAAAAATAGGCATGATGAACAATAAACACAGACTATGAACAGAGTCTTTCACCAGCATTGGAAAAACAAAGCTCCAGTAGTATATGTTTCAATAAATATGACAAGCTTTTATTATTCAGCGAAAACAAGACAATCTTGCTCTAAAATGCCCGAATATAAAATAAATTAAAACAAAAGATCAAGTTCATTAAGAACCAGACACTGACTGTTGCACTTTATTTTCCATCATCAACCAATGAGTAACTTATTCTCTTCCAAGAAGCTGTAGGTTGGTACTTCCAGGTTGTATGGTGCAGGACCTTTCCGAATCCTTCCTGAGATATCGTAATGGGAACCATGGCACGGGCAAAACCAACCTCCATAGTCACCAGCATTGGGCAAGGGGATGCATCCCAAATGAGTGCAGACTCCCACCACGACTAACCATTCCGGATTCTTCACCCTAACCGAGTCTTCTTGTGGGTCCCTCAGAGATCCAAGATCCACGCTATTGGCCAGCTTGATGTCATCTTCTGTTCTTCGCCTGATGAAGACGGGCTTTCCACGCCACTTMACAGTAACGGTAGTTCCKGGTTCGATGCTTCCCAGGTCGACCTCGAGGGATGCAAGGGCAAGGACATCTTTACTYGCAGACATGCTCACAATGAGCTTCAGAACAAGAAGGCGGAGAACAGAGGCGTAAACAAACCTACCACCCGACAAGACAAAATAGGCGAACGCACGCTTGCTAGGGTCACCAGGTGGGTAACGCTCATGGTTATGGTCGTCATAGACAATCTTTGAGTTAGGTGTTTTGACAGCCTCGACAGTGGCTGGGAGGTCAGAACCAAAACCTATCTCATTTCCTTGAGTAAGAACTTGAGAAGAGAAACCTGAAAATAGCATGGAACATTAACATATTCACATTAAAGCAAACTTTTTCAGTCAATTGTTCTAGAACAATAAGTATAAAGCAACAAAAAGGACTACACTACCACTATCAAGATGCGGCCATTAATGTATAAGCATCTCAAGAGAAAAAAAGGTACATAGATACAGAATCCAGGAGGTGTAAGAATAATATAAGAGCATAAGCGATCAATCCAAACAATCCTACCATTGTATCAAATTCCAGGTAGGAGCAGTGAAACGTAAACTACATTAATCAACGCGAAAATCAAGAACAACAGATTCAATCATGAAGCTGTATACTACAGAAATGATTAAACACACAACAAAACTCTCAAGGGATTCGAGAATGCAAGCTCCTCAACATTTTGACTGCTCAAAATCCTTCAAACATAGTATATAGTTAATACATACATCTCCCTAATGATGAAGAAATTCCATGGATACAAAAAAGATCGAACTTTCCTTTTACAAACAGGAAGCTTTCCTCAACGAACAAAGGGTTATCTCAGAACTGGTCAATTCATATCCGATCAATCAACTCAAGTGGAATTCAAACACATTTGTTTCTCACGGATCATCGCCCAGATAAGATACTAGCAATCTCAATCATTCCCAGGACTCATACAAGCAACAACAAAAGATGACTTTTTTAAGAAAAAAACAATAAAACATTAAAACTGCAAACAACACCTGAAATGAAAATCAATCCAGATATATAAACAAGGGTTTGTAGATCGGCGTACCTCTGATAAGGCTCCGGTGGTAAGAATTGAAACATGAAAGATCTGCAGATGGGCTAGATCTGATGTCGGAAGAAGAGTCTCCGGCATCGGAGATAGCATGGTCGCTCGAGAGGACGAAGGAGGTCGCAGTAGAAGATCTCTGCGAAACAGAGAAAAGTCTCCTCCCTGCTACTCGCAGCATCTTGGCTGAATTATGGTAATGGCTGAATCTAGGGTTTCGCTGTGAGCAAGAACGGAGTCCTGAGGTTAGGGACGGCCGATGCAAAGAGAAGAATAGTCCCGTAAAATTAGCTTTCGAGAAAAGAAAAGGTCAATTGTTTTCACAATTAATTTTTTTTTATTTTACATTACCAAAAATATATGCTTGAGGATTTTGATGACATGGCCTCTTCTGTTTTTTTTTTCAGTTTGATCTTAGTTGAGATTTTTTTTTTTTMTTTTACGATATATTTTGGTCTAAGGTCTTTTGTTTGTATAGGAATCTAATTTTACCTGGTTACATATATATACGAAGCAAATAGATAAAAGAAAAAGAGTAAGATAACAGAGTAAAATGTTGGTTTGATAACAGAGTTGATTCAAAATCTCTAGAATTACCAAACTGAGCGAAACATGATATACTATTCAAAATCCAAAATTCCTTTCAAACAATAAACACAGACTATGAACAGTCTTTTCACCAGATGAGGCAGATGCTAAGTCATACAATGACAAGTTTGTATTATTCAGCAAAACAAGACAATCTTGCTGAGAGACCAAAGTGTGAACAAAACAAGATAATCTTGCACGCTAAAATGCGTGAAAATATAAAAAACAAAAACAGATTTAAGTTCATCGAGAAATAGACACTGACTGTGTTGTGTTTTTATTCATCATCATCAACCAATGAGTAACTTATTCTCTTCCAAGAAGCTGTAGGTTGGTACTTCCAGGTTGTAAGGTGCAGGACCTTTACGAATTCTTCCAGAGATATCGTAATGTGAACCGTGGCAAGGGCAAAACCAACCGCCGTAGTCACCAGCGTTAGGCAAGGGGATGCATCCCAAATGAGTGCAGACTCCAACCACGACTAACCATTCCGGATCCTTGACCCTAACTGAGTCTTCTTGTGGGTCCCTCAGAGATCCAAGATCCACACTATTGGCCAGCTTGATGTCATCTTCTGTTCTTCGCCTGATGAAGACGGGCTTTCCACGCCACTTTACAGTAACGGTAGTTCCAGGTTCGATGCTTCCCAGGTCGACCTCGAGGGATGCAAGGGCAAGGACATCTTTACTAGCAGACATGCTCACGATGAGCTTCAGAACAAGAAGGCGGAGAACAGAGGCGTAAACAAACCTCCCACCCGACAAGACAAAATAGGCAAATGCACGCTTGCTAGGGTCACCAGGTGGGTAACGCTCATGGTTATGGTCGTCATAGACAATCTTTGAGTTAGGTGTTTTGACAGCCTCGACAGTGGCTGGGAGGTCAGAACCAAAACCTATCTCATTTCCTTGAGTAAGGACTTGAGAAGAGAAACCTGAAAATAGCATGAAACATTAATATATACATCTATCAAAGCAATCTTTTTCCCGGTCACAAGTCCTACAAATTAAGCAACGAAATGTTGAACAACTGACATTAATGTAAACGCTTCCAAAGAAAAAACATGAGTACATCAAAATGGAATCCATGAGGTTAAGAATAATGCAGGAGTAACATTCATCCAAACTTCCAAACAATTCTACAATAGTATCATCAAACAAATTCAATAATCAGATGCTTTGTCAATACAAAAATGCTTACATCACAATTCACAAACAAAAGCCCCGACGCTAAGATTGCAAACATAGCCATTTTTCTGGTTAACAAATTCAATTCCAGATTCCTTTACTGATTCAAGTTCTTCAGCTTAACTGCTACAAATCCTCTAAACCCAAGAATATAGTAATATAATGTGGCCAGGAACAACAAACCATCCATATCCTTAATAATGAAGAACTACATGGATACACAAGATCAAATTTCTACCAATCAAAGAGCCAATGTGAATCACAATATCCCATGGATTTTTGCAAGCAGGAAGCTTTTTCTCATCAAACAAAGGATTTTCTAAGAACTGGTCAATTCATATCCGACCAATCAACTCAAATGTTGTCAATTTCGTTCGGGACGAAAGAAGAAGACAAAACTATTCCACAGCAAGGAGAAGAATGAAACGAAATGGTACATCAAACTCTAATAACCCTTCCTAGTTTCATGG